TTCTGTGGCATTTTTCCTCATCATACTAAATGTAGTTGTTCCACATGAATTAGTTAATGACGCATCGGATCGTTTTCTAAGCAGTCATAATCCAAAATCTCCCTGCTGAACCAAACAGCACATGAACTCCATCCTGGTCTAGTGCTGGTGTACCAGCCAGCATCCAAAACATAATATGTCACTGTTGTTGGAAGAAAACCTCGTATCTCCAAAATGGTAACTTTACAAGAGAAGGAAAAAACCTATTTTACTTGTAATGTAAGTCAATGGAACCAGACTTTTTTCCAAGTTATTTTAGGCTGTTTCTATTGATCTATTCTGTATGAAATTAAGACACAATGAAAAGGACAACAGGCATTTTCAAATCATGTCAAAAACTGAAAAACCAGCATATTAACACCCAAAACCCAACATATGCGGGTGACCAGTATATTAACTTCCATTGCTGCTGACCAGCATAGCAGCATCCAAAATAAAACATATGCTGGTTTTCCTTGTGACCAACATACCTATATGGAAATGTGGTATATGGCCATATATGCACATATATCATAAAGGGTCAGGCACATATTTCAAAACATATGTACATATATGTTACGTACATTTATATCAAATACTGGACATAGATGCCTAATATATGGGCCATACATATATGTCTGATAGGTGAGGACTTAATACATAATAATATTATATAGATCATATATATACTGTCTGATATATGTCTGATACAAACACCAAAAGACTTTTTTAATGCAAAACATCTAAATGAAATACACCAGCAATGCACATGATAAATCTTATAACATGAAGCTAGCATTTGTGTAAAATATGCCATCCATATATGAACAATGCTTTATATCATAATATTGTTAAATATATGCATTACACTTATATGTTTGTATATGTCGATATATGGCTGAAATATATTATCCATATTTGAAAATGGCCAATTTCAAATAAGATGGTATATATTTCACATATATGTCTTTATATGACTTATCCATATATATATAATCCATGTATTGCCATATATCAGATTTCTGTGTGGGCATTAACTTCCATTGCTGCTGACCAACATACCACCATCCAAAACACAACTTATGCTGGTTTTGCTGGTGACAAGTATATTAACTTCCATTGCTGCTGAATCCAAAACCCAGCATTAGCTTCAAAATGACACCGTTTGGCCTACAAATGCATTACGCCCACCTCTGTTATCAAAGTGCTGCTGCCTTCAGGAGCTTCATACACAGAGCCGTTTGTGCACTTTGTGGTTTCGTTTAGTCCAAACGCTTCAATGTCTTCCAGTCCGAGGTCGACAGGAGTGAACATGCTGCAGCTGTCATACTGGCCGTCCTGCTGTCTGGGGATGGTCAGGTTGAGCTGCTGCTGGAGGGTCAGGTTTGGCCCTTGTTTGCGGATCCAGTCTGTGTTGCAGTGGTGTCTGAAGGTCAGGCCGGTGAAGACCTGACCGAACATGTGGAAAGCTGTGAAGAAGTTGGGGATGCATATGGCCACCAGCAGGCGCTTCTGAAAAGTCCCAAAATCTCCGACCTCGGAGAGGATCTGAGCGAAGCTGATCATCTTCACAGAGAGGCTCCCCTGTGAATCTGCGCTCAGCGCGTCCCGAGCGGCGGGTCCCACGAGGAGGCGAATTAATGTTTAAACCTATCACACGCGCTGTTATCTATTACCCCGCGCCAGTAAACGGAGAGAGAGACATGCTGGAGGTGAAAGCTCAGCTGATTTCAAATGTGCAGAAAATAAAAGATCTGCTTACTGATGATCCCATTTAACAACAGCTGGTGATCTAAGAGGCTTTAAAGCCGTGAAGCTGGATGAAAAGTGAGGGACGTGCACATCTGGAATAAACTTTGAAACTTGCCATATTAGCCGCTCGCCACACGGGGGCGCAGTTCAGACAGCCAAAATGCAATAAACCCATTTCTCTCATTTAATTGTCTATTTGTCTTCCCTTTTTCGTTTAATGCCCCTTATTTGTAGCTGTTTTTGCAGGGTTTTTTTTTTACATTTATAATAATCTTTTATTATGTTTTAAATTCCCTCTTAAGCGCTTGTACTTGTGTTAAAAAGGTGCCATATAAATAAAAGTTTATTGTTTCTATAATTACTGCCCATAATAAAACACTAGAACCAGTGACCCGTCATATAACGCAAGTAAGTGTAGTGTTACCTTTGTGCTCAATGTAGAACAGTGGTTTCCAAACTTTTTAGAGTACCGTACCCCTTCAGACAGCAACCTTCCTGCTGGGAAGCCCCTCTAAATATACATCCTTATACACACACATACATACACCGATCAGGCATAACATTATGACCACCTCCTTGTTTCTACGCTCATTGTCCATTTTATCAGCTCCACTTACTATATAGGTGCACTTCGTAGTTCTACAATTACAGATTGTAGTCCATCTGTTTCTCTACGTACTTTGTTAGCCCCCTTTTACCCTGTTCTTCAGTGGTCAGAACCCCTATATATATATATATATATATATATATATATGTATATATATATATATACACACACTTCATACATGAAGATCAATAGAGGACCTGTGAAAATGAATAGAGTAAAAGAATTTAAAAGTCAAACCAGAGTCAAAAATACAAACAGGTATAACACTTGAAGCTTTATTCATTCACCAGAAACCTTTACTTGTTTATGTCAATGTTCCACTTCACTGCGCTGGTTCTTATATTACAGATTAACTTTTCTGATGAATAAGTGCTAATTTCAACAGCAGGATCCAACACAGGTTTAGTGCAGTTAACAGTACAGCAGAGTACTATAAATGTGTTATCTCAGAGATTTGGATCATCTTTGCTCTTATCATTTTGTCTGATGAGTGCTATAAACCTGAACCACTAAAGCGCACCCTTTCACATTAATTATTAAAGAGCCGATCTGGGAATCATGTGTGAAGAGTCTTCCTTCATTTTTAAAAATGTTTTCACGCAGGACTTCAGCCCACAACACTCTGTATGACCACTTCAGCTCTTAAGCATTAGGGTTTCAACACTAATGCTTCATTTGCACCTCTGACTGCAGAGACAAGGAGGCAGTGGTGTGGTGGTTAGGCCGACTATTTACCAGCTAAACTGCTATCAGAGGGGGCACTGAACATGTAATGAAGGTGTTCTAAAGAATGGGGTTCAATGTGTACTGAATGTTTTACAGTAGACAGACTCCAAAACGACTCTTGGACCTTTCACCCATTGCCATGATACAATAAAAGCTTTTTATTTTCTATAAAGAGTGCCATGCAGTACTTTTAAACATTACCTGCTAAATCCAGTACAGGGATTCTGGGGTCTTATGATGTATGTGTTATTCCATGTCTTGCTGGTGCAGCGTTTACCTGCTCTGTAGTGGAGTTTTTTCTTGCTTTGACGCGGGGAGCTGGGCTCATGAAGCAGAATTTCTTGCTTATCCTGCCAAGTTTAACCCTGGATTTCTGTCTTATGAGGATGGATCACTTTATTACCCAGGATACATCACCTTGGCATTTTGTGCTGGAAGCCTAACCTGCTCTAGGGCAATTTAAAGGGGAATTCCACCAATCTTTCAGAATTTCTCAATAATTAAATATTTAAAATGTAAACAAACTCATTTAGTGTGGTTCAAAGTAAAATGCTCCATTCTAGACAATCTTACCATGTCAGAATAGTTCATAGTGGTGGCAATAGGAACCAGATGTCTGAGGCTTTCAATACCTCTAAAAGTTACATTACAGAATGTTATTACATGAAATGGATATGAATATGCTGCCTGATGCCCAAGACATTGTTTTATGATAGGTTTAATCAAGTTTTTAACCTTAACCTTTTTTTTTTTCATTCATTCATGGTGAAGTGGTACATGAAGAGTGTTGTTAGGCAAAAAAAAGTCCCCAAAGAAAACTTATTTCTCCAGTTTTATCAGCGTTTCTTCATCAACATTACATATGAAAAAAGCAGATGATGTGTAGGTTCACTGGTGGTTTTGGACAGTAAATAAAATGGCTATATTAGTCAGTAAGTTTCTCTATAATGAACCATTTAAAATCAAAAACAATGAATGATCTTGTTTAAATCCCACGACTGAATAATGCAGAAATTTTAAAAAATTGGTAGTATGGAGTTATTTTATGGAAACATCCATTTTTGTGTCCCTAGGGTTTACAGATACAGATAAGTTCTTGAGAACCTACTTTATTCTTAGGTAATTGTGAGAACTAGAATACAAATGGATTAAATTACATATTTTAGTGGATATTCCATCATTGCATCATTGGTTTGATGCTCTATAGCAGCCATTTTGTACAATACATTTTCATTAAAAATGTCACTGGTGTTACTGTCACTAGTGTTACCTTTCTTATGTGTAACATCAGCAACACCACTGACTCCTATGGATAGATAAAAAGTGGATGTTTCTGTAGAATGACCCTGAGCTCAGGGTTTCAACCATAAACAGCTCCTGGGTCAGAACCAACTGGGGCTGAGCTTCTGACCAGTCAGGGACAGCTTCCTGATTAATGTTGATACCTCTAGTCACTTTTTTGTGAAGCTTGTGGTTTCAATCACAGAGAAAATAAATGCTGTTCAGTGGAGGAAACCACCACTGTGAACAGTTCTGACTAAGCGTCTCTAGAGCGGAGCACTTCACAACAAATCACTCAATGAATTTATCTACATCTTGACATAATTATGCAGAAATTTTGGAAAATTAGTGGAAAGCCCCTTTAAGTTTAAGTAGCTAGTATTATACTAGAGTTACAGTTACTTCACTTTATTTATTACTGATTTTTAAGTAGGGCCCTTTTAGATGACCATCTTACGTGAAGTACTTTGATTAAAATGGCTCACTTTAAGTTGAAGCAGAAGGGCTTGAAACTGTTAATGAATAACAGTGTCCTTAAAAGAGCTATATTCATGTTAGACTAAGCATTAGAGCGCAGTCACCCACATCTCTCACAGTTTCAGACATCGAAGAGAGCTGATATGTTCATTCTTTATTGATTTAAAATAATCAGAGAAACATGCTTCGAAGTTCAAAACCAACAAGAGCAAGAATGAGTGAAATGAAAATAAAAACCTAATAATGAAAAAATTAAATATATTACAGTTTTGTGTTATTGCCTATAGTAATTTGAGTGTGAAGGTAGTCTGTCCAAATACTACAGCATCGTTATAATACAGTTCAGCAAGAAAAAAGGGAAGGGGGCAGGGTTACAGCAAAATGGGGAGGGGGGGGGCAATATTTATGAACGGGCCCCACTGTATATTTCACTCAAAAGATCAAAGAGATCAATATTCACAGAGTTATTCAAGACATAGCAATTGAATATTGGTGAACGGCACTATAAGCAACAAATTTCATTTTTGTACAGATTTATTTCTGAATGGGATTTCTGAAATCACACCAGAGTACAAGGGCAAGATTTTAACCATACATATTCAATATTATGACTAATTTAATTATGTATATCTTGCGACTGGAGCGTTCGGAGTGATTATAGAATGCTATTCGCCGAGCACGGGCATTTACTCAAAATACTTAACATGGTTAGTGAACTGATTGGAATCAAAAAACAACACAGAAATACATTTTTCCGCTCAAAACGTCACAGATGCTAGACAAAGTTGCTAGAAACTAGAGGCTACTTATAATTTGCAGCTCTTCTGAGAGCCTCCAATGTAACCACCAAATCCAAAAAAAGAACTGGACTTAGGTCACTACTGTCTGCATGGAAAATAATGGAAATTTTTTTTTAATTCAGAACTTCAGGGACCTGCATCCGTACGCTAACCATTGAAGCCACAATGCTTGCATTAATAATCAAAGCCAATCTCGAGTCTCAAATTCTTGCCATTATGTACAGAGAGAACTACTAAGCTACGCATTTCTCTCACATCAGAAAAACGCATCACCAAGCCATGTGAAAGAGCAGGTTTTGCTTCACCAGAGCAAAGAAACGGACCAATCAGGAAAGCGGTATGAGTTTATGTAATGTGGATGACTATAAAAATACCTTCTAAGCTCACAGACAGCATGTGATATGTTATATAAGTGCTAGTCTTTCTGGTGTGTCTAGCAGGGCTGCACAATGTGTCATTTATTAATTATCGCAACATCAGCTTCAGCATTACAAGTAAGAAACACAGATATTATTTTTGTTACTGTACGTTATGATCAAGTCCAAATCTCAGAAGTTCCTGATGGGCTTCTGTGAATGTTTACAAGAGTCAAGGCGTTCACACGGTGCAACAGATGCAAATAATAGAAGGCAATCTTTAACCATCCACATTCAGGGGTCAGTGTTGTGATTATAATGCTATACTGACATATGTTCTGGCCACACATCCCATAATTTTCATAGCAACTGTTGCTAGGTTGGACTGGCTTTACAGATGCTATTGTATGTAATGAGAAACTGTAAAAATCTTTGTTGTTCTATTATGTTTTTGTTGTTTCCAACCTGCCTTACATCAGTTAGCTACAACAAATTTGCCACCATGCTACGTTAGCATGACAAAAGTATCCAATCTATCCAAACAGCATTTCACATGCTTACAAATGAGCATAATTTCAAATTAATAACTCAAATTCAGGCATTTTGACAAACAAAGGTTTAATTGGGATTTCTGTAGGCAGACCATAAGCAATTGCAATATATAGCAATGTAATCTCAAAGTTTTCCTTTGTTTTAACCCAATCTCTGCCCCAAATTTAGTCATTGTCCACCTGGGTCTTCCCCATTACATGTTGCTACCAAGCTGAGAGGGTGAGGGCTAGCAAAGGCTAGATGTGTAGAACTGCCGCTAACATAACTGTGGAGCTTCACATAATCTGGAGGAGCTAACAAACCCCTACTTTGGCTAGCATTGCGCTGAGTGATCAGGGGAGAATGAGAACCATCCTCCACACCCAGAGAGAGTGAGGACAATTATGCTCTCTTAGACTCCCAGTCATGAAACTTGCAGTTTCCCAAAGATAAGGCCATCGCTTAGACGGCTGCTCCCCTCTGAAGACCCTCGAGGTGCTATTTTAACCATATTGTGCAGCCCTTTAACTGTACCGCTCTACATGTCACAAAGAAAGGTGAACTGTCGTACTGCTACAGTAGCTCCAGAAATGAACTACGGGCGGCGCATGCGAGCTGAAAAACATTAGACAGACGTCCTCCACACTGAAAGGAAACAGCCACACCTGCTCGGACGAGGGCGGAGACAAAACTAAAGAGCCGAAACTTGGTGTCCTTTGGCAGCCAGTGTCACGCCCCTCCACCGGACGAAAAGGCAATGAGTGAAACAACCCATAAAAAAAAAGAAACAAAACAAAAAGAAAAAGGAAATCAAAACCCAAAATCACGTTATTTACAGACAAGAGAAGATTCAATCAAGTACTGGTTCAGCCACATCAGCCAATGAGAAACAGACTCCAAAAAACAGAGACAAAAGCCAACACCAGACAGACACCCAACAGGAATAACATCAGTCGTAATATAAAACCAATAACTTAATTCCATGGAGTAGTACAAGGTTTTGTTTTGTTGTTTTTCACTGTGAGACATACGGAGGTTGTATAGAAGTGCTTGGAAAAAAAAGGTTTGAGTGGTGTTTACTTGCAACGTTTCCACACAAGACTGTACACAAGAACTGAGCTAAAACCTGCAAACCTAAAATTTAGGGCTGAATATTTAAAACCAAGGACTTTCTTTTCTTATTCTTGGCAAGATTTCGTGGAAGTGAGTGCACAAAGTGCCAGTGAGTGATACACGGCTTCCACGTTCAAGAGCGTGTCTCATGTAGGTGGCTGCTAAAAGAACACAGAACATCTGCAGTGTGGTAATATTAACCAGTGCATCACGTGGACAAAGAATTTCTGTACAGCAGCCGAAAAAGCAAGGAGGACCTAAAGGGGTGCCTAAGAACACCAGTGTCTAATCCGAGAGATTCGAGAGTGCATCCAAAATAGACTTTTCCACCAAGATAAGGCTAATAAGTTGTCAAGCTGGGAGGGGGGATGGGGGTGGGCATCGGGCACTCTTCTCTTCTGCACTGTTCTAGTTGCTTCTCTCCAGACCAAAGAACAAAAAAAAAAAGTAAAAGAAAGAACTACAAGTAAAAAGTTTAGCCATAGTATCTGAAACCACAATCGTTCATTTCCATGATAAACTCCACAATTCATGAGGGATTTTCCCCCCTCTGACATGCATTCAGTAGCTCGAATATAAGGCATTGTTACATTTATCAAGATTTTAGGGTGTTAGTTCAGATTGTGCAAATGTAGGACATTACAGAAACGAAACAAAAGAAAAGAAAATGGAAAAAAAAAGAAAAAAACATAAGGTTTATACCTGGTAGGTGTTGAAAAATTGCATCCTTCTACATATACATTGTAAACTTTATTTGAGTGATTCCTATAGATTATGATATCCTGTCTTCCCCACTGCCTTCCACAGCTGGGAAGCTTCATTAAATCCTATGGGCTGATGCAACGGTACTGTTTTCTTTGGCAGCAGTGGTATCTGAAGGGCCTTTGAAAAGAGAGGGGGGGTTAAGTATGAATATGTCATTCTGTTGGTGTGTTTTCGTTTCGTTTGTATTTTTTTTTTTTCACATTTTTAGGCAAGTCATGGTCCCCGCGTGGAGGCAAACTTTAACTGATGCTGAGCTGAGCGAACCCCATCAGTTTGACGTCGTCTGGAATCTCAGAGCCCTCCACACCGGACGCCTGAGGACACACAGGAGCCTGTCTCATTACATCTGAACAGTATTTATACAGTGGCCTTAAACAGTATTTGGACACCTTACAAATTGGCAAAATTTAATGTTGCTTCGTCAAATTAATGATGCATGATGATATCAGAATCACATTGTACCGGCATATATGTATATGCATCAGCTTCAGCAGATACGTACATAAAAAATCCAAGGTCTTGGCATCAGCCCACAAATATTGGTGCACTCCAACATAAAATGTTTAACAAAATGAAATCGTAACATCATGATGGTGGACTCACTGATGTGAAGTGCATAAAAAAAGCTGCCAATTTATTGTTTATTTAAAATAAATGCTACTTGGTTCAACATCTCGTTTCCCCAACATAATGAACTTAAAATGTTTTTAAATATGGTACAAATGTCCAAATACTTTTAGGGGCCACTGTATCTACAGCAGTGGAGTTAAAAACATCTTTACTCACCAGCTTGAAAGTGACGTTCTTATTGGTTTGAGGCTCATCAACTATCTTCTGCAAATTAGCAGCAACTGGAAAAACACAAAGGAAAACTTTGTTAGCGGCGCTCAGCTGAGGATTATTTTGATGTTAAGAGTAGGGCCGTCACAAAAACCTGATTTAATCTGATTATCCAAAATTTACCTTCATGATAAATTCACAATTAGTGTTCATGATGACACTAAACATTTTACATTCTCCTCCTGCTTAAGGAAGCATAAGATTTATAAGCATTTTTACCACAGTGTTCTATATATATATATATATATATATACACATGAAATCTTTTTAAAAGCTTATTTTCAGTGAAATAATTTAGAATATCTGAAATCTATGCATGGTTCTTATTCAGTTCCATTTATATTGCTTGACCATTTTATAAAACTTTGGTTATTCTATTAATTGTGAAAACAATCAGCAGATTACTTGATTACAGTCTCAAGCAATAGTGACAGCCTTCCTTTAAAGTAAGCTGTTTTTAAAAGGAGCCATCTGACATTTTTGTTTTTTAGCATTAGCAGGTGTGGTACAAGACAATTTTACTGGCAGACGCAAATGGAAAACAGCTGCTACAGTCAAATCACTGTATAGACCAGGGGTGTCCAATCTTACCAGCAAAGGGCCAGCATGGCTTCAAGTTTTCATTCCAACAAAGAAACACACATGATGAGTCGTTGAAGACGGAGACCAACTGACTGAACAAGCAAAATCACCACTCTGGCCCTTTGCGGATAACAGTGGATACCCCAGGTACAGACGCTCACACATACCTATAACTAAATCTCTTCCATCTACCAAGCCTGCTGACACCAGCTCCTGGGACACTCCATCTGCAGTGTCTACAGAGTGAGAGAAAGAGAGAAAGATACAACAGGAAAGGCAGGGGTGTCAAACTGCAGTCGCGAACTGCTGTGTTTTAACTAGAGATGTGCACAGAGAAATATACATCCCATGTTCCAGTACTAATAATAATGAAATCGGCATCTGGATATTAAAGAAGCACTGTATGATTCTGGAGAACGAAATTTGAACTCAACAGCAAAACAAAACACACCCCTCCCTTCAGTGATCCTTCAGAAACTCCATCCCCCAAATTCATGGACGCGCGTTGCCAAGGCCAGCATGCTTTTTTTTAGGTCTTTGTGGCCATAAAAGCCTTTGCAAAGATTGTACATTGCACACAAACACCACAATATAACGTGACGCAGCAAGTAATGTAACTAACGTTAGCTAGGTAGTGGGTTAGCAACCTGTCGCTACAATTTGCTATCCACCATGCAACTCTCTAACAAAAAGATCTCAGATTCATGCCTGTATTAGCAGATAATTGCTTTAAAATGACCAGCATCGGACAGATGACCAAAATTTCAAACCTGATGTATGATGACATATTTATCTTTCAGGAAAGAGCAGAATGTTTAGGCGATGCTGGGAAACTGTGCAAAAACATCTGCACTATATTTATTTTGTTGCATTTGTAACCGTATAGAAATAAATGTGATATTTTTCTGTAATGCTAAATTAGATAGATGTTGCCCCAGTTTCTACATTTTACAAATGCTCATGTATCAGCACAGGCAGACAAATACGAGATAAATATCGGCCATCGGCATCAGCCCACAATTCAACGTCCGTGCATCCCTGTTTGAAAATCCTCTTACCTCTGCCAGGCATGAACTCAAATCGTATGTCGTTGAGCTCCTTCTTCAGATTCCTGCAGAGTAAGTGGAGAGAGAAATGAGACACCGGCCCCTAAAAACACCAAATCCTGTCAGCAAGAGCAGTGGATGCACTCAGCAGTGACCAGTACAGAACTTCACCTAACAGCTTTTACAGCTATCTATAAGCTTACTGCTTCTTTTCATCATTCATATTTATCAGAGCCTGAGCAATGCAAAGGTTTTATTACTGATATTGATTTTGAGGAGCTAAAACTTCTGATAAGCGCTACCTGATGATTTTAAAAACTGAACAGACTCCTGGTAGTTCTCGTTAAACAGTGCTTTACTGACTGACATCATCAACTGACAGGTTTTTAAAACTCACATCTTAAATAATACACATACAAACCAAGCTACTTATTTAAACATAACCTTAGAAATAATAGCAAGCAAATGACATGAACTCTCACAGTGTCGAACTCTCAAACATGAAGTACACGATGTACTTCCTGTGTAGCAAAAATTTATGGAACCTTAAAAGGCCCATATCTTGCATTTCTTGTGTATTTAATTTATCTATCTAAGGGCCAATTATGACATCTGTGGGGGTTAATGTACCAAAAAAGTGTCATAATTCATTTGTACTAGACTTCATTTCAAACTCTCTTTATTCCTCAGAATTAAACAGGCTGTTTTTGTTACTGTGCCTTTAAGACTGATATACGCAAATGAGCTCTGATCTGATTGGCTGCCCTGTACTGTTTTCCAGGCTGAAACACTCCTTGTAACTTCAATGTGAATGGGCGAGGATTCTGTAGGCTGACTAGGTGGATATGTAAATGTATTTGGTTTGCAGCAGGTTTCATATATGGACTGTATGGACTGAGAAACGAATGGAACGTTTTGAAATTTTAATAATGTTTACATGCTACATCAAACACATTTTATCAAGGTGAAGAAAAAAAAATCAGCTTTCAACAACACGGGCCCTTTAATATTGGCTCATTTTAGCGTCTATACAGTATACTGGCCAGGCAGGGCTCAGGTGGAATTCTGCCAATCTTCATTTCTCGACCTGAACATAGCGGCTTCTCTAAAAAGTGGTTGCAGACAGGAGGACTTTCAAAAGCACCCTTTGGAAAGTAATGTAGGTCAGGCTTCATGTTTATTAGTGTCAAGCAGAGCAAATGCCACATAAAGAACAGTACACCCCGTTAATGATTGATGGTTGAAAGAACATCAACACAATTTAAGACAACAAACACTGAACCTGTAACTTATTACTGAGCCCAGCAGTTAAGCTACTCCAGAGCAGTAGTAATTACAAGGACGTCCAAAGTAAAAGCAAACAGAACATACCTCAACCTTAATACCAAGCTGATGGGTGATTTAGAGGCATCACTTGCAGGGACTGGAACCTGTAGGTAAAATGGAAAAGTCTTTTTAGGTCAGCTGTCCTTCAGCCTATAATATCTCTACTAGTTGTGGGTGGTATGACCAAAAAAAAATAAAAAAAATAAAATAAATCAAATAAATAAATAAATAAATAAATAAATAGACAGATAGATGAATAAAAGTTGATATTCTACGTCAGGGGTGCACAACTCCGGTCCAGGAGGGCTGATGCACAGTACAGTTTGGTGGCTGCCCTACTGAAACACACCCACTAAACCTGCCAATTTACAAATGAGTGTAATCAGGTGTGTTTAAGCAGGTAAATCACCAAACTTAGCTGGACACCAGCCATCCAGGACAGGAGAAAACAAGTTAACTTATCCACAATATATTCAAGTTTAATTCACATCTTTATTGACTGGAAAAAAAAACAGCTACAACATAAAATGTGACCAGTACAAAAGTTATGGCGAAAATACGTAATATCATGTAAATCTGTGAAGATAAACAGTCTTCTTATGAGATCAAAAACAACAAACTGCCCCTTTAAATCTTTGCCTCTGCAATAGACCTGTTTTACCTGGGCAGGATTGGTGGGAACAGGCAGGGCTTGTGCAGGTGCACTGGGCTGCACAGGTTGACCACCAGGCTGAGGTATTTCTGCCTGGCCAGGGACGCCAGCCTGGAGGTGACTGCTGAAAGGCTCTGTTGGCTGGAAAAGCTGGAGAGATCCAAAACAGACTTAATTATTATGCGCTTGCTTTAGTAAAATGACAATAAGGACAAGTCAAAAGAAAAGCTTAATGCCCACCTCTGAGTTCTGGGATCCCTCCTTAACTCTCGGTGACTGTTAGAGGACAAAAAGAGTGACAAGTTAAGATCAAAGTATTTTATAACCATTTATCATAATTAATATCACACAATTACTGTGATGTAATCATCAGCTTTTAAAGAAATACTCTGGAGATTTTCAAGCTCTATCTGCCTCATCTAAAGCACACGAGTGATTACAGAGAATAATTTCAACACTTTTCTCTGTACATACTAAAAGAACAGAAAACAAGTTAACTCGATACATGGCTGTAAACGAGGACACTGAGCGGGCGCTGAACAGTTGGTTTCTATTATAAATGTGTTTTCTGTTCTTTTGTCAATAAAGGGAAATCATAGTCTGTGGTAACTGATCACACACTACAGACACAGCAGACAGAGATTAGGTTGAAAATCTCTGGAATATTCCTTTAAACCACAGCTTTCCAGTATAGCAGGAGGGGGCAGTGTTAAATGACGAACGCACTGTATGTGTTCGCTGCACACTTTTGTTTGCCCAATAATATTTTGTATGTGGACAAAGAAGTGCTAAACAAATATATACAGGGCAGATACTACAGTATGCTCACACACAAAGCACAGCACCGTTTACATAAACACAATAAATTTAGACAATAATATGATTGCAATTACTCCTTGCCATTAGTGCTGATTAGTTGGTCACATTTCATGTCAGTGCACTGTAGATTACACTTGCTGTCAAATTCAATGGGCGTTTGGGACCGGTCAGCATAGCAAGCGCACTAATCACTATGGCTGGCCTGAACAGCGGTTTACAGGTTTCAAATGCCCTTACAAACAATAACGTGCATAATCCATAATTAAGCATAGTTTTCAGTATGTTCATATATTTCTTAATCCAAAATCTTTGGTATCGTAGGTATACATTTATACATCCCTGTTCATGATGGACGTCAAAAAGATGCAGAGTGACAGATGTGCTGTTGCTTCTAACAGTAGTCACTGGTTTTCATAGATCTGTTTCTCATTTGTTACTCTGATACTCATTTAACAGTAGTCAGCAATGTTAGTGACTGTCACTGTAACACCAACACGGTGACTAGTCAGTAACAGTGACTAGTTTTCATTTATCTATTTCTTATTTGCTACTCTAATAAGCCCTAACAGAAGTCAGCGACAGTAACCGTGACGGTAACTAACATGTTCCTAGTCAGTAACAGCTACTTTTTTCATACATGTATTTCTTATTTGTTACTCTGATAGGCCTCTAACCAGTGACAGTAACAGTGACTGGAATTACATTGTAACACTGTAACTAGTCAGTAACAGTGCTTTTTATTGTTATGTTGCTCATGTGTTTCCCTGCCAGGCTACTAACAATAGTCACCGGTTACCACTGGTTAATCTAAATACTTCTGTCCAATGACAGGCTGTTTTCTGGGCATATTCCATATTGTATATTAATTGTTAAATAATTGTTAAATTCATATTGCTCTTGTTGTGTTATTGCTTTGCTATCTGGTGTCAACCAGAGGAGGATGGACCCCCCTTTTAAGTCTTGCTTCCTTTCAAGGTTTCTACCCCTTGCTCTTAGGGGCTTGGACCTAGATTTTCTGTAAAGCTGCTTTGTGACACATCCGCGGTAAAATGCGCTATATAAATGATAATGATAATTATCTTAGATAAGGAGACGTCTGATGAGTCTTACTGGATTACTGCTCTCCCAGACAACAGCAATGATACAGGCTTGTATTTGGCTGTTTCTTTTTTGTTTAAACATTGTCATTTTAACATCTTTCACTAACTTGCCTCAGGAACAGGGAACACTGTGAACTGCAGGGGAGACTGGCTGTGCTCCCATTTTGCTCATGCTGTGTGAATATGACATTAATAGACTAATATCACACCCACTGTTAAGTTATTGTCATTTTCTCCTCGTTTTATGCTAAAACGTTTTATTTAAAATGAATTCAATAAATGTATTCAATAAATACTGAATAAAATTGCCAAAATGTGCATATAAGTTTGAACACTTGCTTGAGGTGCGCTGACAAAATAATTAAGTAAATAATGTAATAAATATTGTAAATTCCTCTCAACATTAATTGCAATCAAACACTGTTGTGTCTTTAAGAGTGATATATCTAAATGACCTCTGTTCTGACTGCCCTGTTTCAATATTACACCTTACTGAAAAAGCAGTCAAGGCTGCAACCCTCTTTATAACTTCAGCTAAACTACTCTAGGCTGAATAGGGGGATATATATGTAAACATACTGTCCTTCGTGACATCACAAACACAATGAATGGGCTCTTTAAATATAATGTACATAAAAGTTTATAAATTCACTTGGGTTTAATTTCCGATAAGAAAAGCAATAAATTACGATGGAGACACATTTGCTAGATACATAATGTCACTGTGAATAGAATTAGGTCATATGCCTTATGAAGTGTTTCTGTTTCTGCACCCATAGCTATGAAACACGACAGAAGAGGCAGGTTTCAGCAGTGGACTAATGAAGAAATTCAAATGCACCTTTATTATTATAATGATCATTTTAGGTGGTAAACAAACATATGGTGCCTGCAGCTGATTTCCTAAGTTGGCTATAGTTATATTCTCTTGTATAGAGCTGATGTTAACTAATTGACATTAATTGTTTTGAGTCCTTTCAGTTATTTCCTTGAATATAATTCAACAGCTGGATGATAAACCTGGCTAATGACACAGCCTGTAGCCTCATTTGAGCAACAGATGATTCATTTTACAGTCCTTTGCACACACTTGGATTCCCGGTTGCCAGTAATTACCAGGTTTCAAGCAGTAATAATAATTTCTTTTACCTACTGAGCTTAAACTCATCACTGGACTTTAAAAGAATGTAAATCTCACAGGATAACAAGGCCGTCTGTAATCTGGTGTGTACGTTTATTGGCATAATATTTAAAGATGCATTTGCAAAAGAAAAGCAAACAGCTGTTAAACTAATCAAAACAGGCTCCTCCCTTCCTCCTTTTCTTTGCCAGGTCTGCAGTAAGCTTTCTAATCAAAGTGAGGGACGCTGCTGTAAGATGAGTAACTAGCGTTCCACCTCAAGGTCGTGCCTTCTGAAAGCAATATACAAAGCTCATACACTACAGCTGTTCAAGAGAGCTCAGATCCAGTTCTGTTTCAACAGACAAAGCAGCTCACTTGGGACAGAACATGCACAATCTGAGTTTTTCTTTTTTCTTTTAAATACAAGCTTAGTTCTGTTCACATTTTTTTTCCCATAACATTATATTGTTTGGCATACAAGTTTCATTATTTGACCAGGTATGAAGTCTTTCTTCTTTCAAAAGTTGAAACTAAAAGCTTGTTAGAGCTGAACGACTTGGGGGGAATATCTAACAGATTTCTGCTGGCCAAAGTTGTGATTTAAATGCAATTATTGTGTATAAACTAAGCTCCTGGCCATTTTCAAGAAGACCAGCATATGCATTTCTTTGGACTTCAGGCTTGAAAACGTCCAGACTACCAGTCCAAAAGTTCTGTGTTATTAGGTTAAATTCTTCAATTAAAACTTAAGACAATGTTGAATAGTACTGGATATAATCATTGAGCTCTAATGTTTCTTCCAATTATTTATTGGTTTGCCTACAAAATGTATAATCCTAACATGAATGGGAGGGAATTGCTGGTTCGCTCAAATTTCTGAGCACAACGTCTAGACCTAAATTTTTTTAATGGAATTTCTGACCCCCCCACCCACCACCTGGCACTCAGACAGGTCATGCACTGCCTGGGTCTAAGCCGGACTGCATCAGCCAAAGCCAATGCTTGCTGCACAGCAGCCACCGTGAGGCCAGTGGGCTACATAAACAGCCCCTCATTCTCACGATAACAGGCATGAACTGAACCTAAACAGCACTAAAGCAAATCTCAGTCTACATTCCACTCTGGTGTTCAGCTGTAGCTGCAAGTCACATGTAACTGAAGCTTTAAAAACAAACGTGAACTCAGCCATGACTGCGGCTTTAGATACTGGACAGCTTGTCAGCCTTGAAAATTATCAGAGCGGCTAATCTAAACTATATTACACTCTATTCACTGCCTTATTTATTGCAGCGATTTAACCATAAAGGATATTACATGACTGACTGATGAGGAAATGTTCCGTCACGTAACCCTTTAACATCTGTTTAGGCTGGGCTGCTCTTTGTTCTTCTATAACTATCAAAATATTAGTTGTCCAATCAGATGCTGGTCCTGCAGGCTCTCATCTGGCACTTACTGCAGGTTTATGTGGCAAGACACCTTCATAAACTCCCAGAATGTGCCATTCCTTTCGTTATCTCAATTAACTAGATCACCGATTGGTACTATTAACTCCAGTGTACCTGTATTAATACCAACCGATAAGATTTAAAGACTTAAACAAATATCAATATGAATTTGTTTTGAATACTATGAGAAACCATGGTTTGCTTAAATAAATTACGAGCCTTTTGCTGTAGACAGCCATTTACAGATATTACACTAATAATAACTCATAATAATAGGGCTGTTGGCTCAATAAAACAAAGGCTTTTAAAGCGATACCTCCAGCACCTTCAGCAGACCACACCTGACAGTGCTCATGAGAGAACTATGAATAAACGAGCAGCAAACTAATAAAAGCAACAGCAAAGCAGACTGATTGTATATACGATATATATTATGATATATACACTCATTGGCTGGCACATGCAGCCACTGTTGCTCTCACTAGACATCAGTGATGAAACGGGAAACTGTATTCACTCTGTGCGGAATAAATATAATTTTCACGTGAACTCTGCATTCACACAACGAAAATAATGTTACTGAATTAATGAAAGTAATACATACATTCTGATGAAGCTTATTCATACTCTTATAGCTATAACAACATGCACTGCTTTTTAAATGGGGAGAAGAAATATATTTCTTTAGGATCAAACTTGAGCAAATAAGACAAACGTGATTTATCAGGTCTAACTATTGATAACAGGCCTAAATACTAACCAAGAAATATGCACAATACTACCTGGAATTACTACAAATTTTATAACAATGTGAACTCAACTATCATTAAGCAGCCAGTCAATCTGCACTAAACACAGTCAGATTAATTATCAGTCTATCAGTGTTACATCAACACATAAGAAATGAAATCACAGCAAATGACCTGCAGTCAGTTATCATGTTCTAATGTACCTAGAATAACTGCACTAGTTCACCAATATAAACAGGGAAACGAATATACTGGAGACTATACTGTTCAAACAAATGGCTTCAAAAACAAAAGTGTGCAATACACATTTAATTGAAGGCCCTTAGTTTGTTAGTGCTTCACCCGGAGCACTGATTATTCAGCAGTTAAATGATTTCATGCTGGTTGGTTAAAACAGGTAACACTGATTTAATGAGAGTGAGCTATCAAAAACAGACTGAGCGATACAGATGGCTTCCAGAAAAGACACTTCCCCAAATTATAAACTGTATTTGTTTTTTAACAAATAAACAAACAAGGCCTCCCTTCCAGGCTTCCTCCTGCAGATATGATCTTAGCAAAATGCTGTTCATGGCAAAACAGCTTGGCTCAGCTAAGTTTCTGCAGCTGGAAAACAAGCTTGTGAAAAGACAAGCTTGAATTGTTATTTCTAGTTAATTAGAGATTAAAATGCTGTGGTCAAGAGTTTAAGCGCTGTTAAAAATTTGCCAGGAATATTACACAGATTTGTCCAATCCTAATAACATTTTAATTTGTTGAGGATAACATAGCACTGCTGTCATAAGGAAACACTGTAACTTTATAGCAGAAGGAAAAACATTCTTAACTTCAATGCAGATTTAATGCAGATCCTAAGTAATTTCGGACCATTTCTACTGGTCCATACATCATGAACTGTGCGTATCAGGAAAATCAGGCTTTCATATAACAGTGACCTAATACTAACTGCAGGGAACAACAAATGCTGTAGGCCACGATTACCACTTTGAGCATATCTTTTTATCTATGGTATATCTAGCTATGATGCATACAAATGCATTTGATATTATGGCTTTAACCAAATTAGTTTCACCTTCTGTTTCTGCTAGCTCCTGGTTTTGTTTGCCTTTCTAAAGTACTGCTGGAGCTGGATTGGTCTTCTCAGAGGAGGTTCTGCAATGTGATTTGGCGTTACACCACAGGACTCAATAACAATAACAATATGCCACGTGGCCATGTCTATTAGCAGGTTTTGTTATTCCATTAGTGTGAGGCAGATTCTAACAAGACTACTATTACTGAACAAGTTCCAAGTTCAGTCAATTACAAAAGACCATTCACGTCACAGTAATGACTGTCAGACTGTATAAATACACAAAGTGTAGATTCATACTGGATTAAAATCACTCTACAATCATTAGTCAGGCTGTAAAAATTACAGACACTGTAAATTCACACTGGATTAAAATTACCCCACAATTACTATCACACTGTAAAAACTACACACACTGCAGATTTAAACTGGATTAAAACCACTCCATTACTGCTGTCAGACTGTAAACACTACACACACTGCAGATTCATACCAGAATAAATTCTGCACTTCAATTATAGAACCTCCCTGGGTAAAATAAATCCAGCTCCAACAGGGCTTAAAGCTGTTTGTTTCCGTCGGACAGTGCAGTAATTTCTGGTAGAGGGAGTGTTTCCTTGTTATGGAAGCCATCTGTAAGTGAGGGGAGAAAAGGACAACCCTGGCTGGGGGCACTTCCAGGGGCTGAGAGAAGCGCACTTGTCGCCGCGGCGCGCTAACAGACTTGGGCGGCTGCTCCTTTAGTGTCGAACACAAAACACACATCACAAGATACAAACACATACAGACAAGCTCTCCAAATGACCCAAAGGCAATGTGAATGAATACTAATGAAAACTCTCCACCAAAGTTACTGAACAATAAGGGATCTTTTGGGGAAACTGCAGAAAACAGAGACAAACCAACACGTGACAGACATGAGGCTTCTAGTTTTAAAAAGGGAAAAAAAAACAAAACATGACCAAAACCATGTGGACATCTGAACATCACATCCATATGTGCTTATTACAAAAACATTGGGCATTTATATGGAGTTATATGGAGTTTTCTGCTATAACATTTGAAGTAATTTGTTGTTGACCTGTTGCTACTCTGACATTTCCACCTCAAAATAACAATACTTACAGTTGACAGGGACAGCTCTAGTAGGGCAGAAATTTGATAAATATACTTATAGACAGGTGGCATTCTATGACAGCCTCACTGAACTCACTTCATCACAGGCCTGTGGTTATGGCAGGGGTGAAGGACTGAGGTCTGGAGTACAGCACAGTTTGGTGAAATCATTAGAAAGGTTGTCCACATACTTTTGGTCACAGTGTACACATGCATGCATGAATGCATGCATATGAGGGTGTAAGTGTGTATCTTTACCCGTAAAGCAGCAACAGCAGCTTTGCCTTCTTCACTCTCCTCGTCCAGCTCATCATCACTCCACTCCCATTCACCGTCTTCTGTTTTATGCAACCTGCCGCTGGATCCGGGAACCCGCCTCACCTACACACACACACACACACACACACACACACACACACACACACACAGTCACTTTCCCCAAAAACTCATGTAGTGAAAAAATGTGCACTTATCTACAAATCGTTTTCATAACAAAATTTCGTAATCCTGAAATGGGAACTAGGGGTGTCTGATAAGAAAAAAAAAATTTACTTTATATTAATATATTGAGATTTTACTCCAAATTGTTCCAAGTTTTATCTCAACAACCAAATGCAGTAGGTATTTTTCAAAACAGAAAAAAAAGTTTTGATAAGACAGCAATTAAATGTACTATCACTGTATTTGAGCCTCACCTTTTTTGACCTTTCTGATATTGTAGGTGCTCTCTGTAGTAGCTTCTCTTGTAGAAATTCATTATTCTACAGAAGAAAATGGAACAAGAAGAGCACAGATGAAGGGGGGGATTTCACTCAGTGTGTTGAACGTGCTAATTTACTCAAAATTATAGTCTGGAGATCAAGCACAATAAGTGCTTTGCCTTTGTAATTACTGTTCAGTATAAGATATTAAGTTCACTGGCTGAGGCGCAGTGGGCACAAGAAAATGAACTTCTGGTTCCAGTCCTGGTAAATGAAAGATCAGGTGACTAACATCACAGAATTGCAGATTCTAATGTTCTCTCCTCAATTGTGAGCACTGTCAATGTATTGTTTCTGCTAGAAACCACACTTACGTTTACAAATGAAAGGATAGTTTTGCTTATGAAAGAACTCTTTACACATCCTCTTTATTTCTCCCTCAACTTGAGCCATTCTCAGCTATTATCATAACACTGGCTGAGATACATCTCATGTGTGCCCCCTGCTGGCCTCTACCGGTACTACCTGACTTTTAGAGCAAGACATTCTGGCCACCAAACATAGGAGTGCGCTAGATACACAGCAGACTGGTCTTGCCCAAACTGCTGAAAAGGCACTCCAGTTGTTGGCGGTGAGTGTAACAGGCAGCCGGAAGAGGCTCCGAGGCTGCTTATCCCTGCTTTTGTTCAGAAGCCCAGTGCTCGTCCAGTAATGACTGGAACGCTGGACTGACCTCAGCTCTGATTCACATGAATTAGGGCACACATGTAAATACCCATCATAACAAAAATGAGTGTTTTACCTTGGCCTTCTGGAAGAACTTGTGTTTTAAGAGCTCTGATGATGTAGGCCTGGACAAAAAAAAACAAAGAGAAAAGAAACATTGCAGTTAATAAATTGTGACAACCAGATCGTGAAGCTACATTACATTTAGTCCCTCAAAGTTTTTCTTCGTCAGGACATAAAGACAGCTCTAGACCTGTGCCAGAATCACTTTATTGGATAAATATACCTGCATGTACATGGACTTCGTACATAATATACAGAACACAAAAAGGTAACAATACAAAGGAATGCTGCTGTCATTATCAATTAATTTTCAATATTAAAGCAATCTGGCCATTATGCAATCAGCTGACGACGACGATTATGTACTGACATGAATTCTGACAGAAAATCTACTTTCATCACAAACTATATTTTAAAACTCCCTTTTACAATAAACACTGCAAAGGTCAAGCCATTCAGATGTAAATAAGAGTTCAATCGCGAGTGAAAATGTTTTAGGCTAACAACTGGCTGTGCAAGTTATTCTAGTTTTTGGTATAGACTTACAAAAAATGATACTTCATTTGCTATACAAAACTGCTAAACTTGTAAGTCCGTTATTTCTGTGTTCAAATTTATGTCAGACATGCTGTAGTGAAATGAGTGAGTCACGACGTTCTCAGCTTCACTATGAATGTCATTCAGATTTAAAAACTAGTCAAACATAAGGGAGCAGGGGGCTATCTCCCTTTGTAAAAAGGGTTTTTTTTGTCTTGATATTTTTCCACCCATTTATCTTCAGTCTTTCAAAATACAGAATGACATGCAAATTCATAAATGGGGGAGTTCTTCTACTGTGGAGCATTTAGCTAAATGGTCATGACATGATTTTTTTATAGCATAGTATCAAGTTCAATCAATGATGATTGTTAGTTGTAGCATTCAGTTAATTCCACATCTGTTTTTTAAAGGAAATTTTAATTAACTGCTGTTGTAAGTCACTTTAGATAAGAGTGTCTGCTAAATACTATAAAATATCTACATTTAATCATGTTAAATACTGAAAAAATAGGCAGTTTAATTAAATAATTCAAATGATCAGTTCAAGATATCTGTATAGACAACAATAAGGTCTTAGTGGTTAGTGTATCGGCCCTGAAATTCCACATGAGATCACAAATCATGCAAAGCCTCTCTAAGAAAGATTCTATAAGAGTTTACTGTAAGAGAGAGAAAAAAATCTATCATGCTAACTGCTAACTAATCAAGGCCAATTCACAAATAAGACAAAGCTTAATCCTTTTTTGTGACACGAAAACTAAAGGAAACATAATCTCTCTTACTATGAAAAGACTGTTTGAGCATTTTTTTAACATTAAAATTGACACCTGCACCAAGACAATTCCTTTTTCTTGAACTCTCAGAATTAAAAAAAAATCAGATCGTCACCTTTTCTCCGGATCCTTCTGCAAACACAGCGAGATCATCTTCCTGAAGGATTTGCCGTATTTCTTCACCATCTCCTTATCTGTGATGCCTGTCTCCAGTGTAGGAGGATCGTTCTGCAGGGTTAGCATCAACACCTACAAAACGCCACAAAGCAGCCTGTTATTTCAGAAAATTATCCCTTTTGATGTAACACAATACGATACTGTTTACAAGAGTGTCCTATGAGAACTTATAACTCATAAGTTTCCTTTACTTTAAAAGCTAGTATTAGCACTCAGAGGAGATTATACTGATTCAGGCCAATGTAAGCTTCATGGTTACTTACTTTCATAGGAGGGTATTTGTGGTAGGGAGCGGCTCCTGTGGCCAGCTCTATGGCTGTGATCCCGAAACTCCAGATATCGGCTTTGAAGTCATAACCCTTCACCTGCACACAGAGAAACAAGCACAGCTCAGATTTACCAAGCATAGTAACGGTGCTTACCACCTACACAAGAATGAACGCAGTTTTTCAGATGGTGGGGATCTGACCACTAATTATGGCTTGCACTCAATTAAGCTATACATGCTCTTTTGCAGCCGTTGCAACAAAGAACAAGCTTTACAGAACCATGAAAAAGTCCTGTCTAACCTAATGACAAACTGTAGTGCTGCCAAAATACCTATACTTATCACTTTTTAATATTGTCATATTAATATATATGTATATGATAATAATAAGCTAATAATAAATGTATACTATGTTATTAATTTTGATTAGTCATTCTAAATGATCATATAAAATTCCTGAACACATCAAATGTTTTGTGTTTTGTGTACATTTTTATACCATTAAGATATTATAGGGATGCACAATCGGATCCAGCCAAGATTGGAATCTGCGGCTTTTTTTGCTCAATCAATAACTGGCCAATTTATTGTTTTTATTTTGGCCGATCTGTGTTGCAATTGTATGATGTAGGTAACGTGATCCTGGTGAGATAACAAACTGTATTTGAATGCTGCTGCTACAGTTGCGGCAAAACTTCATAGCATAATTCTGATGTAGCCCTTTGTTTAATTCATGTTATATAAAGAGGCAAGTGACCTAATTTAAAGCATTTTCAATGCCACTTTGGCCCATTAAGAGCAAATCATGTTGTTTCTATTTGCAAATTTGGCTAATAAGTTCTGCAACAGTGTTAATGTGTTTCATGTGTTTATTTACTCTCCACAGTGTGAGCTTCAAATTTATTTAAAAAAATAAAATAATAAATAAATAAATTACTAAAATCAGTCCAGAAATCATCTCAATTTGGCTGTAAAGAAATCGGAATTAGAGTCGGCCAACTCATGATCGGATCATCCCCAGGATTTTAACGTGTTCAGATTTTGGGTCCACAAATGTTTTTTTTTGCAGAAATCCTTTCGTGCTTCTGTGTACATCATGGTGTGCATGGTGTCCAGCCACATCAGTAAAGGCTCATGGGTTCGCTAGTTAAATGTGGGAATTAACCAGTCATATCAAAACAAGAACAGGTGACTGATGACAAACACCACTTTGCCTTTAACTTTCTTCATCCAGGCTGAAATATCGCTCCTCTGATTGAGTGAACATTATGTAAAATGAATTTCAAAAATGAATTACTTCATACACTCCCCCAAAAAAATGAAAACGTGTGCATTCATTAGATTCTGCTGGTTTGGGTTTTCTTTCTTTCAATGACGAGCACAAAAACTATACGAGTGCTAATAGTGCCCCCTTGTGAAAAAAGTAACCTGCTAAACGTGGGTGAGGAAGTGAGTGACAGTTTTACGACTTTTATGACTTCATACATTTATAGATTTTTTTCATGACTAACTTTTCTTTCTGTTGCTAAATAATATTATATTATTGCAGTAGTTTCAATAAAAAGAAACTGTCATTTCTCCAATGCTTGCTATTATAGCCGTTTTACAGTAAACACGAGACAGAATCTAAAGTCAGAAAAAACAGATTTCATAGGGCCTTAGCCAATGCTAAGACAACATGAGCATGAATTCTAACTCCTGAGACTTCTATATAATATAAAGGTGAATTAAAAACAGAATCAATATGCTGTGTGAACTATGTAGAAGCTTTAAATCATGTTTTTTTTAGAATATAGAGATGAGAAACGAGATGTGACGCAAACCTGCAATGTTTAAAACTATAGCAACTGCATCCACCCATGAATTGTGAACAGCATGGATTCTAGTTGAAATTCTTTTCATTTTAAAACTGCACCATCACACTGCAGGGGGAGCAATCAGGTACCAGTAGTGTGGTCATTTCATATCTAACTCATGCTGTTTCCTTCTAATGAATAACCTAACTGCCCAGGAATGACTCAGAATGTGTCTCACTGGACACAACACTGATTCTCCACCCATGTGGTGCCTGGAACCAGATTCTGCTAAGCTCCATTCTTCGGTGAAATTGCATCACGTTCAGACGTCACTGCAACTCTTGACGAATGGAGCAGAGATTCAGCAGGTCAGTGAGTGGGCGTGCGAGTGAGTGAATGAGGGGAAGCAGTTGAAGTTTTACCTGCTCCATGACCTCTGGAGCCATCCAGCACGGTGTTCCGACAAACGTCTTGCGTACTTTATTTCTGGTGATGTCACCGCCGGTGGATAAGAAGGCACTTACACCAAAGTCTACAGGAAGAAGAAAAAACAATTTGAACCCAGAGAGAGAGAGAGAGAGAGGGAGAGGGAGGGAGAGAGAGAGAGAGAGAGAGAGAGAGAGAGAGAGAGAGAGAGAGGGAGGGAGGGAGGGAGAGGGAGAGAGAGGGCTTCATTTTAAACATGGACTAAAACAGTGTATGATGGTATGATGCTTTAGTTTGTTGGTTTTATTTCCCTATTGAGTTATCTGACACATCTTCAGTATCCAGTTTCACTTCTCAGTTTTCACTACCACACTATTGGTAAATCAAACAAATGGAGTAAACTGCACACGTCCAAATGCATTCCTAATGTGGTGCGCTGCGATGCTGGCGCACATAAAGTCGTATGCTAAACTATGAACATTTTATAGAAAAGGCGAGGCTTACAGCAGTGAGCGGAGTTCGTTACTCTGATGTAGCAACAAGCTGCTTGTTAAGGAACTATAATTTAGCGCAAAGAACTGCTAACATTAAAACATATTAAATACCACGTTCACAGCCCAATTTATTAAATTATTACTTTATTTATTTAGCTGTTGTATAAAAGCAATAGAACACTCCCTCGTGTTCTATTGCTTAAATAAATGTGAATGTTCATAGATTTAATTTCTCTGAGCTATAGTTATGAGTACGTAGCATATTTTATGCAAAATATTAATCAGCCGTCTCAGAATTTGCAAGAATGTACGGAGCCCAGCTGGTGACATCCCATATGAATAATAATAACAACGTGTGGCCATACCTGGAAACGAGATCCTATGCCGTACTAAATTGTGACCACGACTTAATTATCTTGTTCCTATGCCGTACTAAATTGTGACCACGAGTTAAATATCTTGTTCCTATGCCGTACTAAATTGTGACCACGACTTAATTATCTTGTTCCTATGCCGTACTAAATTGTGACCACGAGTTAAATATCTTGTTCCTATGCCGTACTAAATTGTGACCACGACTTAATTATCTTGTTCCTATGCCGTACTAAATTGTGACCACGAGTTAAATATCTTGTTCCTATGCCGTACTAAATTGTGACCACGACTTAATTATCTTGTTCCTATGCCGTACTAAATTGTGACCACGACTTAAATATCTTGTTCCTATGCCGTACTAAATTGTGACCACGAGTTAAATATCTTGTTCCTATGCCGTACTAAACTGTGACCACGACTTAAATATCTTGTTCCTATGCCGTACTAAATTGTGACCACGACTTAATTATCTTGTTCCTATGCCGTACTAAATTGTGACCACGACTTAAATATCTTGTTCCTATGCCGTACTAAATTGTGACCACGACTTAAATATCTTGTTCCTATGCCGTACTAAATTGTGACCACGACTTAATTATCTTGTTCCTATGCTGTACTAAATTGTGACCACGAGTTAAATATCTTGTTCCTATGCCGTACTAAATTGTGACCACGACTTAATTATCTTGTTCCTATGCCGTACTAAATTGTGACCACGAGTTAAATATCTTGTTCCTATGCCGTACTAAATTGTGACCACGACTTAAATATCTTGTTCCTATGCCGTACTAAGTCATGGCCATGCATTATTTTATTTCTATAAGATGTCACCAGCGGGGCTCCGTAAGAATGAATGGAAAATAGAGAGTTATAGCTTTTGAATGAAACATCTTAAATGTGTCTCTTAAAATATAGAAATTATGAAATATAGAATATGAAGAATGCAAGTCTGGAGCCAACAGTTGCTACAGGCTTCCTATTGTTTTTTTCATCTTCAAAAAGAACTTCGGAAGCCTCGAAAAGCTACAGTCGTATTCAAAAGTCTGGACGCCTCTGGTCAAATTACATGTTTTGTTATCTACTAATCCGAACATATTGGGGCCTGAGCAAATGTGGCCTGTGAAAAAGTTATGGCACATTTTATACTTTGTTTTATTTTTCTTTCAATATGTTTCACTCGGCAAAAAAGTAGAGTGTGTGCACTAAAACATGAAGAAAAATGCCATATTTAGAGAATGTGTTCACTTCTCACTTAGAAAATTGACAAAACATGTATTTTGGGCTTTGTAGAAAACTACATCATTAAAATAAGCGGTAAATAACACAATAACAAATATAATTGGCAGTCTAAGGCCTGTTCTAATGTGACCAAAACAGAAATAGACTTTCTGTCTTGGTTATGGAAAATGGGCTGTTTTGAGTTAGCTTTAATCAAGCAGAGATTTTCTCAGAGGAGCTGGGAGTGAATGAATAATCCCCATTGGACTTACAACTGACACACTTCACAATTCATGGGAAGAGAGTCATTAGAGGACACACACACACACATGCGCACACAAACACACACACACACCACCCCTTTCTCCTCCTCACACACTTTGCTCATTCCCATGACTTTGATCTTCAAAGGATTTGTCTCCGCCTAATGAAAATGTCCTCTTTACTTCTTCACGTGTATTCAACACACAGGGACTTTTAAAATTGAGAACTGACTTTGTGCATGTAAATGTTTTCACTGCTACTTAAAAAACTTTAGTAGAACTGCTTGTGCAAGATTCAGTGCACAAATGGTGGGAAAAACAGAAGACATCTAGTTCCCACCCCTTCAGATCTACTCAGGTCAAGGCCCAGATAAAGACAGTGCAGGAAACACGTCTCTGCAAGTTGATGGGAAATCCCTTTCACTAAACAAACAGCAAAACATTTGGCAATGACTCATCTACTCACAGCATTCAACAAGGAGGCAACACCTGCTTCACTCTTCTTTCTTAATTTAATCACTGCTCATACTAATAATCACATATTTTATTCAATAATTACTGTAAATACTATAAACCAGGCACTAGAAGTTATTTTAAAGGGCCCATATCATTGAAAACCAAATTTCCCTTGCTTTTTTTAATTGAAGGAGTTTAGTGTAGAATGTAAACACTGTTAAAGTTTTAAGTTATTTGTGCAAACTAAGCTGCAAAAACAAGCTGTTTGTAATTCATTGTTTCCCTGATGTCACAAAATCCAACATATTTACATATACGTCTACGGCAGTTTAGCTCCAACCATTCATGCTGAAGTTATAAGGACCGTTTCAGCTCCGAGTTCCTTTCGAATGAGGCACAATACAGGGCAGCCAATCAGAACATAGCACATTTACATAAATAAATATTAAAAAGGAAAAAGGAAAGCAACAAAACAGACTGCTTAATGCTATGAGATGAAGAGAGGCTGGAAATGGTCATGTAAAACCGTATGTTTACCGTTTTTGGTAAACAAAACACCACAAATCTAATAAGTAGACCTTTAGAGATAAAATACAACATGGAAAGTATAGGATATGGGCCCTTTAAAACGTTTTATTCAATATTACACATTTTTTAAAAACACCAACAAGTTAATAACAATAATGATACATTTTTTGATAGTAATTTCCAATAAGTTACCTGACAAGCATCACACTTTTCAAATGCACGTCATTTTGGATTTTAATTTTACTATCACTGCAATCTGAACTTTCTTGATCATTATAGAATTATCTAGAGTTATTCTGTTCATTTTGGACACATCCATTTTTTTTTCTTTTATTTATAGCTTCCCACTAATGTGAAAGTAAGTTAACACGTTTTATTGCACACTTTCTATTTATTTGCTTTTTTAACATAATGGGAAAAAAAACACTTCTGCACAGGCCACATTTTATGTTTTATTTTTTCCCAATATGTTAAATTCAGCAAATTGTGCATTAAAATGTGCAGACATGTTCTCTGTAGAGGATGTGTTTCCATATTTTCAAATTAGTAGGAACCTGTAGAAAATAAAGAAATATTAGATGTGTCAAAAATGATAAACAGAGCTAACCAGATAATGCTTGGGTGGTGGGCCATTCTCAGCACAGCAGTGACACTGACACGGTAGTGTGCGGCTTTGGCACGGCAGCATGCTGTCAGCCAAGCCATGTGCTCCACTCAGGAGCCATTCAAGGCTGTTTTCATCAGTCATATACAGTAGTAGCCCTTTGTTCTCACCTTGTTCTTCCTCAGCAGGTGAATTGAAAGCATAATTAATGTAGATTTAGTGGGTTTAATGTAGGTTTATGCATGTAAAACTTGTCCTATCATTACTCCAGGGCCATTAGCAAGTCAGTATGTGTCCTTTTCACTGGCATAAACACATTTGATCTCATTTGCTAGAATTTATTTGTTTGAATTCATTCATTCCAGAGTGCTGAATAATGGGAAACTGGATTGGAGAGGAATTCCGCTTGTAAATGAATGCATCCACATCATGGGAAAGTGAACAACATACCTGCAATCTGAACGGAGCCGTCCTCCCCGAGCAGGATGTTTCCAGCCTTCAGATCCCTGCCAACACACACACAGCACACAGTTTAACAATAAGATTTACAAAATTCTGGTTAGCAGGGTCCAAAAAGCATACAATAGAATACAGTGAATAAACAGTAGACCATAAGTTGCTAGTTTATTCTAAGTATCTATAATTTTACACATTTTATCACAAACACCTACAATACAGGAGCACATACAGACAAATTTACAGCACAATTTCAGCCCCCCTCTACCCAGTGCATCAATAAAAAAGGCACCACAATTGGACCACCACTGATTAGATTTAAAACAAGACGGCAATATTGACTCTGTGTCCAACCAAGAGCATAACCATGACATGCAGCAATGAAGTGAAACCAACCTAATCGTTTCAGACAGAGGCTTCAAATAAGCCATTCAGTAACTCATATGGCCCAATTTCACAGAAAACAGGTATACTAAAACTCAGACGAGGGTCTCACAATATGGAGAAAAATCCATACACTGATACACATACTGTGATGCTAAAAACAAAATTCTGACCAGAACTGATGTTTATCCAACCACATATTCCTTAAGCCATCAAAACACAGAAACGCATCTGAAACATCTGACATTCGTTCAGAATGTTCACAGCGTATTACTCAATTTCAGTTTTTATCTATCTATTTAACTTAATTTCTCCCCTCAACTTTGCCACTGCCAAATAACATCCACTAGCTAGTTCTCCCTCTATTACATAATGCTACCAAGCTGGGAGGGTGAAGTCTAGCACTTGCTGTCTGACGCACATGAAGCTCCACCACATCTTTTCAAACTGCCACTAAACACGTCGTCACTGGACGGCTCAATATGTTTGAAGGAGAAAACGTCAGCTAACAGATGCCCATGCTGGCTACCATTGCATTATGACTCGACTCAATCTCGAAATCTCGACTCGAGATTTAATACCTCAGAGAATCAAAACTCGACTAGGACTCGCACCTCAGAGTGATGGAGGATAAGGGAGGGGAGCCAACCCGACCCACCCAGAGAGAGCAAGACAATCGTTCTGTCTTGCACTCCCGACCACAGATAGCTGTGGCATCACAGAAGATCAACCTTGTGATCCCCTGAAAACAGGGCCAATCCTTAGACAGTTGTGCCATTTGGGAGCTTTAGTGATTTGCTAAAGGACTCATCAAAAGGCTTGTGTTATCATGTGCAATCTACATTTTATTGATTGGATTTGGTAGTTCTTGGTATGGATCTGTAGTTTTTGATATGGTTTAGTTGTTTTTGGTATTGCTTGGTAGGTTTTGATAAGGTTTGGTTGGTTTTGATATGGTTTTGTTATTCTTGAAATGGTTTGTTACTTTTTTTGATATGGTTTAGTAGTTTCTGATATGGCTTGGCTGTTTTTGATATGGTTTTGTTATTCTTGAAATGGTTTGTTTTTGATATGGTTTGGTTGGTTTTGATATGGTTTGGTTGGTTTTGATATGGTTTGGTTATTCTTGAAATGCTTTGGCAGGTTTTGATACATTTTGTTTATTCTTGAAATGGTTTGATAGGTTGTGATATGCTTTGGTTATTAACGGTATGGTTTGGTAGGTTTTGATATGGTTTGACTGATTTTGAAATGGTCTGGTAAGCTTTGATATGGTTTGTTTTTTTATGAAATGGTTTGGTATTTTTTGATACAGTTAGTTCATTCTTGAAATGGTTTGTCAGGTTTTAATATATTTTGTTTGGTAGGTTGTTGATCTGGTTTGGTTATTCTTGGTATGGTTCGGTTATTTTTGAAACGGTTTGGTAGGCTTTGATATGATTTGGTTATTCTTAAAATGGTTTGGTAGGTCTTAGTATGGTTTGGCTAACGTCACACATTCAAATAAGACACATTAAATGAAAATGAGAAAATTACTTCTGTGCATCCTAAATCCACAGATAGCATGTTTACAGACATCTAAACCTCCCACCTTTATTGACTATTGTGACCGATGTAAACAGACAGCGGTTAACAAATATATAAACAAATACATAAAGCAGCCTGAACTCAAAGTGCAAATACTGGAAGTTTTGTGAAAGTGAAGTTCAGTCAGCGTGTCCTATTTTAGACTGAAGACTCTAATCCTCTGCCCTGCCGTTACCTCGCACCGTATCTGTTCATTCTGAACTGAGCAAATCAAGAGCACAAGCCCCGCTGGCAAGAAGCACGTTCAGCTGAGGACAGCTGTGTGCGGCGTGTGTATCCTTTGCTAAGCCACAAACTGGACAGTCCTGCCTGCTGTAGTCATGGCGACAGACTCCCGACAAAGGCTCTCGCTGGAGGTCACCTCAGATTGGAGAAGAGAGAAGATTTTAGAGACAGAGAGAGAGAGAGAGAGAGAGAGAGAGAGAGAGAGAGAGAGAGAGAGAGAAAGAGAGAGAGAAAGAAAGAGAGAGAGAGAGGATGTGTGTGTCTAGACAGTCTGATGACCTTCCAGCCAACTGAAAGTCAGAAGCAGTTCATTTAACTCCCACACTGAAAGCGTTTAGGCCTATTTAAAATCCTCTCAGTGCACACTGTGGATTTCTTTATAGCTTTCAGTTGCAATCCAGGATGTGTCTATTTATAGGGGTGTAATGCTATGTATACCTTACCATTGGCAAAAAACCCTGGTCATCAAAATTAGCCAATATTACTGGCCAGCAGATATATCGTTCATGCTCTAACGAACAATGAATAACAGCAATGCCGATTTAGATACAGTTATGCTAGCTGTACAGGACACAAAGTATATCCACCATCAAGCAAGACCGGTCATAAAGTAATGATAGGAGAGGTTATTCAGCTTAATATTCATTAATGGGTATTCGAATAAGGCAAAATATCATGTAATTTGACTGAGTTTACGATGTAGGACTGTAGATAACATCAGGATCCCAGCAGCTGACACTGCATCTCTCGCTCAGCGAAATGGTCAAAGTGGGGCTACAGAGTAAACCTGTCACAATGATTATATAACTTCCCACACCCAAAACTTTGAGATGATCACAATAATTTGAGACGTCTGTAGTAATTTCCCAGTCATTAGATTTCACAATCGTGACATGCGGCAACAAGCAAGTGTGGGGTTGAGCCCAATAAATGTAAAAAATTTAGAAAAAGCAGTAAAAGCATTAGTGACATGTGATGGAATAAAAAAAAAAGCTTTAACTTGGTGCTCTAACGTGTTTGGAGGGCAGCGCTGAGTGGTGTTAGTTGACTTGTTAGCTATGTAGCTAATTCTGATGTGTTTAGCATGTATGATAATTTTTTTGTTGCTTTGTAGTTAATTGCAATTATTTATATGACAATAAGTCATTAGCTAAAATTTCAAAATTGTAACAGTCCTTCTGTAGAGTTTTCCTAGTTTTTGTTATTGTGACAATATGCATTTCTGAGCATATCATGGATATCATTCGTACATAAAGAGCATTGACTGCATATTTCATTCAAACAAAACCATAATTAGTCCTGTTTAATTGGTTTTAGTGCAGTACAGTATGTGCACTATGGAATAAAAATCACTGTATTCATAGTTTTGATAGTTCTAAATGTGAAAATTTCATGATGCGTATCGTTAATCGAGACATTTTGATATATCGTGATATACAATTTTTTCCATATCGCCCACCTCTATACAGAGTAGGAGTGGGAATCTCTAGGCACCTCATGATTTGATTATGATTCAGAGGGCTGCGATGCGATTATAAAACGATTATCGATGCATCTCGATGCATCTTTTTTTTCTATACAGGATTTCTATTTTCTCACTGTGTGAGGACTTCGTAGTTTTAAAGCAAAGTATTTGTAATGATCCATAATGAATTTACTTCCAATATCTTTTATTAACAAATAAATCAAATAGAAGATGTAGCAAGTGAACTAGAAGGCCCTCATTCCCTGCCTTTGGAGCACATGAGACGCTGCTGCCACTCATCTGCGCTAAAATGCGCAGTTACGGTGACATAAGATCCAGTGGTGATGGATCTCCACGCAGCACGTTACAGCCGTCCTACCCGTTTTCTTTAGTGATTTTATAACTTCGGTTTTGGTCTCGTAGAGACGGGGGTGGGTGGGGGGGGGGTCGCTGTGTCAGTAAAATATCCCCTGAGACGGGACGTGTGCAACACAGTGCAAAAGCCCTGTTTCGCAATGACAGAATTGGCGTGCAGACTGCAGGTCACATAGCAACGATGCATTATTCGCATTTATAAGCAGCGCAGTTGGTTTCCTGGCAAGTTAAATCTGCAACGAGAGACTGTCAAACACTAAACAGTTACGAAGATGAAGTCAGCTTGTCTTTCTAATTTTCCCGTTCCACCTTAAATGGTGCCGCTTTTACATTCGGCGCCTCAGTCAGAATTTAAGGTGGAACGGGAAAATACGAACAAGAAGCTGGAGAATAAGTAGCGACTTCAGCCTCATAAGACAGCTGAGCGCTGAGAGACGTTTTACAATAAACTGCTCTAGTTTTGAGGAAAAGTTTTCTGGCGGAGATGGGAGGAAAGCGGCTATTAAAGCTTAAAGCAGAGCAAAATAAATCTGCGCTCTCGTTTATATCGTCTAGCCTATACTAGGACATACTGAGACATACTGGACATTAAATGTTGCGGCTCCTAAGGTGGTTTGATTTTTGTTGAAAGGACAAAATGGCTCTTCTTAACATTTGTGTTGTGACTCCTGACCTAACCTGGCTTTTAATGCAGAGGGAGCCGGTCGGATTTCTCACTCATCCTGTTGTGTTTTTGTTATGCGCCGCCACAGACTGTCCAGGCGCTGCACTTACCCCCTTTCAAGTTCCGCCTTTTGCATTTCGTCAACGTTACGTTATAAATTAAATATTTAGAAAATCGATTTTTTTTTGTGAATCGATTCAGAATCGTTCACGTCCGCATCGCGATGCATCTAATAATCGATTTTTTCCCGCACCCCTAATATAAAGGAACATTACAAACAAAAAGTTCAGTATTTCAAAGACCATGAAGTCTGCGCTACATTTCACCCTGATCTGAAGTGATTTTCCAGG